TGGTTCGAACATACCAGACTATATTTGGAGATTTCTAATGAATACTGAAACTAGCTGTGTACTGTCCACTGTCCAATAACACTATAGTGCTTATAGGGGAGACTATACAGCAACCTGCAAAAGCTGTATTAAAGTTTCTGGGGGATAAACTTTTAAGAGGCCAATAATTTTTTGTTGGACATGGGGTAAGGTTTTCTCTATGTCTTTGTTGTACAAATTTGAAGAGTCTTCCTATTCAAGATGAAGATGACATCAAGACTGATTCTTAATGACCTCCACTGCACATGCACACTCTGTAACAGAACTACTAACCCTCAACCTTGCACAGTACCTCCAACTAAACTGCAAAGTTACGCATATAATATGCAGTCCACAAATAGTTTCCGTCACTTTTATTGAGTTGAAATGCACACGAGGGATTAAGCATCACAACAAGAGACAAACTTATATCCGTATTGCGCAGGATCCGCCATAATGCTTGTCACACGTTCTTTGCCTCCTTAGTTTTTAGATTTCTGCCTGTAAAGTATGTCTAAAATTTCTGATGAATCCGTATAAGGTTCTCCTCACAGTGTGATTAATGAAAAATGAAAAGCACTAAAGTGCAAACCCTCAGTGAATTGCGCATGCGTAGTACCACTAATTGATGGGCTGGGCTTTTAGTATGCATTTACTTCTGGTCTCCCGCTAGTAGCTCGCGGTGAGTCTGACACTAGCTACAGTAGTAGATAGCATGCGGGAGTCGATACACGCCCTTCGTTGTGACTTCTTGTGCCTCCGAGTACACAGATAAAGCGGATCAGGTCGGGGTAAGCCTGTGCTAATATTGGCTTGTTCACTTGCCTTTCACGCCATAACTTTTGAACACAGAAGTTATATCAAAATCGCCTTTTTAAAAATGAAGCCAGTATAGTGATGAACCCGTTAGTATCGCTGTTTTGTTGTCTCGTTGTGCGTAGTCGCAGAAAATGTGGTAACAGACAGACAGACAGACAGACAGAGGGATGGACACACTTACAAACCAAGTACCGTAACCCTCGCTGCGCATGCGCGCCGAGGGTTAACCAGTGTTACACGCAGACTCAGAGGTGGGATGCACTGCATCTCACCACCCTCCTCAATTCACTGTGGAGTATACTAAATTATACCTCTATCTGTTCTGGAGTGAGTCCGCTGATGATGTCATCCACTGGCACGTGACTTTCAGACAGCGGACCTGCTGTCTGGCAGCAGCCTGCACTCCTGAAAACATTCAGGGGAAGACAGACTCACGTGCACACGTGGCTCCATACACAGCCATGGAGCCAGCCTATGGAGACAGAGAGAGAGGCTTACCTCTAGACGAGTTGATCAGTCGAGACGCTCTTCGTAGACTTCTGAACGCCATCACACGCACTATAGAAATGCTCAGCACACGAAAACGAATATATACTCTGTTTACTCTAGTTGTGAACGCGCCCACTATCATGTGACTTGTGGGTGGGGCTCGTAATGGAGCACTGCGCATGCGCACATTGATCGTTTATTGTGCTGACGAGGCACATTCCGCCCATAGAGTAGTAGGTAAGGACGTGGTAGGTTTTCGCCGAGTCTTTCTCAGCCGGTCCGTCGGTCGTGTAAGTCGCGAGTTCCTGACGTCCTGGTCCAGGTGTGAGTGCGTCACGTGAGCTCCAGACACCCTCCCCAGCCGTTCAGCGGGGGTAAGTGAAATCAGAGGGCGAAACGCTCGAAATCTCTTCCTCGGTTTTTCTCCGCAGGGGAAGCCATGTACAACGAAACTGGTTCAGTGGATTCATCATCAACTCTGCAACAACAGCAGCGACAGGCTCCAACTCGAGTCTCCCCTCCTGGCCAAGATGGGAAACTCACGTCCAGTAGACAAGACAGAGGTGACATTACACACACTCATGCAACACTCTCTCTACATTGAAGATCACACTACATACAAGATGTAATACAGTGGAGCCTCTCTCTAATAAAGACACCCCTTGAAATGAGGATACCTTTTATTTCCCCCAAAACAGTTCTTCCATGAACACCTCACTATAAGAACACTTTAATTTGTCTAGTTGGTGTATGGGTTCTAGAGTTGCATTTATACAAGAGCACCTCGCCTAGGGGCATATTTTCACTAATCAAGTTACCCTTGCCTTGCTAATACACCCCACACTAATTATGGCTGACCTCTACACATTAGGTCATTGTAGTTTAGGGTAAGGACTGTCAATAACATGTACCAAGGTCAAAGTTCATTCCAAGATCGTGGTATATATGTAGCTAACTTGGTTTGCCGCCTATAGTGATGATGTCACATAAAGAATGACGTGTGTCGACGTGTGTCTAATGTTGCCAGCTAACGTGGGTATTGCAGTACATGGCCAGCCAGCTGCCAAGTCTAGAGCAATCGACGCCACTACAATATGGCACCTCTCAAACAGTCAAATAGTGTATGGGTGTGAAGGTTAAATGTGTATGGATGGATGGCTTCTTTAATTCAGCACACTTGTAGCTTTCTAGAGTGCAGTAAAGTCTGATGGAACTGGGTATGATGGGTGTATGGTGCCTGCTCTCAAGAACAGAGGATAGACCACTTCTAGGGATATGATGGGTGTATGGTGCCTGCTCTCAAGAACATAGGATAGACCACTTCTAGGGATAAGATGGGTGTATGGGAATATAGTGGAACCTTTCCATCATACCATTTGGTCACGAGGTTCATATGAGAAATCAGGAACCTCGTACTAACAAATCTGATTGATGAGTAGTTTCCATAGTCCACAGTGGGTGTACACATGTATGGCTGGGATTGTGTGGCAACAAGTGATGCTAAATGGAGACTGTGCCACTGGGAGAGGAGGTACAGATTGACTAATGGACGTCACGAGCACTCGGAATTCATCTCAACACACCTCAACACTAGTCCTCGACATGTAGTTAATTTACCTTTTGTCTGTGTCACCCTAACACAGTCCACTAGCTAATTTACCTTTTTTCACTCTAACACCCTAACATAGTCCACTAGCTTTTTTTCACTCTAACACCCTAACATAGTCCACTAGCTTTTTTTCACTCTAACACCCTAACATAGTCCACTAGCTTTTTTTCACTCTCAACACCCTAACATAGTCCACTAGTGGAATAGTTAAGTAATATGCCTGTTTGGTGTGTGTCCTAACGCTACAGCACTCTTTCCTTACCAGAGTACCTTTTGTCTTCTGTTCTTGTGAACTAAATGTCCTGGTACAATAGTCAGTATATGTGTTCTGTACTCACTAATGCAATTTGTTAGATTTCATCCTTTTTTCTGTACCATTTTCTCTTACAAAAAGACTAACTGAATGGTCACACTCATCCAACTGTACGTGCATATGTACTGGTCCCCAAATCTGTGCTTATTTGTTTACTTTTTCTCCCGAAAAATACTTGGCATCGCTCTCCAGTTGTCATGGTTACAACCACATTTATAAAAGTACTGTTTTAGTGTAATTTTTGTGATGTGATGTCGTTTGTTGTGTTGCTAGGCGACATGGGGCCAACGGAGCAAGAGAGGAGCAGCAGTGTGAGTGACGAGTACCTCAGGTGATGATGTCATCCTGGATCATGTGATCTGTCATGTGATGTCAGGTGATCTGTCGCAGGTTTCTAAGTCAACCAGGGAACGTGGAGAAGAAATTTCCAGTCGATCGGAAGAAATAGAGAGATTGATTATTGGTGAGAGAGGGAGGGAGGGAGGAGGGAGGGAGAGGGGAGTTATTGGTGAGAGGGGGAGGGGAGGGAGAAAGAAAAGGGAGAACTAGTAAAACAGTCTGTAAGCACTAGTAATGTTGCTTGCCTATTTCTTCTCATGCGAAAAGGCCTATGTGGCTAGGAGGATCCGTAGTGACTTATTTTCCCTCAGTTCCACTCTTTATTGCTCCATCCACAACTTTATGCTTCCACCATGCAATGAAGAGGACGCATTGATGTGCTTGAATAAATTGACTAGGATATTGTGTTACTGCATGCATGTTCTCTGTAGTCGTTGCTAAAATTTGACCACTCCCCCATCCTCCTCGGTGTTGGCTGCGTACAGCTGGTAGAAATGACAAGGAGACGGCAGCCGATTTCTTCCAGAGTGTCATGGATTCCTCCTCCACTCTCGTTCTCTGGCCCTCCAAACTCAAGATCGGAGCCAAGTCCAAGAAAGGTGTTCGCTCTCCTCCTCCTATCTCCCTCCAACCTCTCCTCTTTTCCTTCATCTCACTTCTCTTTCCCTCCATCTCCTATCTCCCTCCAACCTCTCCTCTTTTCCCTCATCTCACTTCTCTTTCCCTCCATCTCCATCTCCTATCTCCCTCCAACCTCTCCTCTTTCCCTCATCTCACTTCTCTTTCCCTCCATCTCCATCTCCTATCTCCCTCCAACCTCTCCTTTTTTCCCTCATCTCACTTCTCTTTCCCTCCATCTCCATCTCCTATCTCCCTCCAACCTCTCCTCTTTCCCTTCATCTCACTTCTCTTTCTCTCCATCTCCATCTCTCAGAGTTTTTATCTTTATCATTCCTGTCTTTTGTCTTTCTGTTGTCTTTCTCCCATCTTGCTCTTCTTTTCATCTTTCCCCCATCTTGCTCTTCTTTTCATCTTTCCTCCATCTTGCTCTTCTTTTCATCTTTCCTCCATCTTGCTCTTCGTTTTCATCTTTCCCCCATCTTGCTCTTCTTTCATCTTTCCTCCATCTTGCTCTTCTTTCATCTTTCCCCCATCTTGTCTCTTATTTCATCTTTCCCCCATCTTGCTCTTCTTTTCATCTTTCCTCCATCTTGCTCTTCTTTTCATCTTTCCCCCATCTTGCTCTTCTTTTCATCTTTCCCCCATCTTGCTCTTCTTTTCATCTTTCCTCCATCTTGCTCTTCTTTTCATCTTTCCTCCATCTTGCTCTTCTTTTCATCTTTCCCTCCATCTTGCTCTTCTTTTCATCTTTCCCCCATCTTGCTCTTCTTTTCATCTTTTCCCTCCAAACTTTCGTCTTTCTCACTTGCTGCATTCTCCTGTTCACTCATTAATCTATTCCCCCAATCCCCCATTCCCCCATACCCCCATTCCCCCAGATCCCCAGGTGAAGGTTGTGGGTCTGCCACCCAATGTCCAGAAGGCCAGAGAGCTCATCCTGGCTGACCTGGACGCCAAGTCCGAGAGAATCACTCTCAAGATCGACGTCCCGTTCTCTGAACACTCGCACGTCATTGGGAAGGAAGGAGCTAACATCAAGAAAGGTATGCGGGACAGAGCGTTATCTAAATACCTCGACTATGGCTAAAGAGTGCAGTGCAAGTAACTGACTATGAAAATATAGATTTACGGTGTTGTACATTGAGACCAAAGTGAGGGAACGTGAGAGGAAATTATATTATCACCATTGAGACAGTATATAGTGAGGTAGAGTTGCAACTGTATTGTGTTTGGGAATAAAAGAAGGTTCCGTTTGGTTACTCTTCAGCTTCCTAATTTACAATCCGCTATTTCCTGTCAGACTGGCTTACCTTCCCCACTAATCAAGGAGTAAGGAGAATTGAGTTCTAATTAGACAAACTACATTTTCCCAAGTTATTGTACGCCTTTCATGTGGTTTATACTCAACCAAATTGTAGGTCTTGTTCACTGGCATTAATAATGAATGCAACATGTATACATTCATTGAACATGACATATATGGTATTCACCAGAAACCATAAACACCATGTAGGTAGGTATAGCTCCGCCCTCCTTTACTATCGACTTCAACTTGTATTCTCAACGTCAATGTATACAGTGATTCACAGAATGAAATGGTCACCTCTCCATTTGTCCTCCGCAGTTCACGAGGAGACCAAGTGCCACATCCACTTCCCGGACTCCAACCGTTCCCTCCACACGGACAAGAGCAACCAGGTGTCCATTACCGGGCAGGAGAAGGGAGTGGAGCTGGCCAGGAAGAGGATAAGGGTGAGGGGGGAGAGGGGGAAGGGCTAAATGCCGTACTGTCTGTAACTCCTTGCTCACTGATGTGTCTTTTTAACCCCTTAGGAACTGTTGCCAGTGGTGGTGACCTTTACTCTCCCTCTCCCCGGACACATTGACCCAAACTCATCTGACATACAACAAATGATGCTACAGTACAACGTGACCATACACATCAAGCCTGTCAGTTCTTACCTACTCTATGATGTAATCATTACGTCATTTTGTATTGCATTTTTTTAAAGATGTGATTTGCTTCTTTCACTACTGCCAGTATTGACATATGACATAGTCATTACATCATTCTTAATGCATTCTGGATAAGGCTCTTTGTCTAGGTATTCTGGATGATGTAATTGTGATGTAATGTTTATCGTTTCCCCAGCAACCGCGTCATTTCTCCATGCTACTGGTTGTCCGAGGAACGGTGCGATTCCAAGACGGAATGAAACTTGCCATCAACAAACTCGTCGAGTATTTTACCGGTAACTGTTACATAATTCTCCGGTGATGTAATGATGATGTAATCTTCAGGAGACTTCCGGAGTCTTCCGCAGGTGATGTTGAACCAGGACCTGGCGGCGCAGCACCACCGGACCATCATAGGCAGTGGAGGAGGGAACATTAGGAAGATAATGGAGGACTCTGGCACCACGTGAGTCGAGCAGGGAATCTTCCGGAAGAAATGACAACAGGGGCGCGGGGGGTGTTAGGGAGGACTTTTGGATTTAGACTAGAGGCATACTATTGAGAGATTACTGTAGTACAGCCAGTTACTATAGTACCCTAAAGGCACATACATTAAGACACAGGTTAACGAAGAAGTTGACACATTAGGTGTTAGCTGGAAACACTCAAGCATACTTAGAGACTACCCTTCGAGATGTTGTCTATAGCTGCCAACATTATAATGGTTTGTCTGCAGCAGCTATTTTTTCAACGTGTATGCAGTTTAAACTGTTAGCCTTTCACTTGCCTCCGTCTCTCTCTCTCCTCTCTGGTGATTCCATTCTGCAGGATCCAGTTCCCGGACCCCCAGTCCCGATACCAGAGTAACCAGGTCACCATCACTGGATCAATGGACGGAGTCTTCAGGGCAAGAGAACAGCTCCTGGTGAGGTCACATGACTAGTCACGTGACAGTCATGTGACTAGTCTCTCTCCTCTCTAGGGATGTCTGCCAGTGGTACTAATGTTTGATGTTCATGACACAGACGGCAGTGGTCTAGGCACAGGTACATATAATGTACTGTATCCCACAACACCTATCATGGTGGCTACATACATATGGTGGCTACATACTATGGTGGCTACATACATATGTACTTCTTTTGTTTTGATGCCATAATGTATAGGCAGCCAACCATCCCAAACTACCAAATTTCTTTTTTAAGTTGCACTAATAGGGAATGTGACGGCTAATTCAGAAAGATGGAACTAAAAAGGAGGCCCAGTAAATAATACTAGTTTCTATGTAGTTACACCTCATCCCCTTTTTAAGTTCTATCCTTTCCCCTCGTCACGTCCCATTTCAGACCGACAAACGGCTCTGGTGGGTGAGCTAATGCAGCAGTGGGACGTGTACATCTCCATCAAGGCCAAGAAACAGCCGATTCACTCTGTCATTATCAAGAGCATCGAACAAAACATGACCTGCGTCTACGAGGCTCGACGTCGAATCCTCGAGTTTGTCAGTAACTCCGCCCGTGGGCTCCCCGACTCCGCCCAAATGGGTGTGGTCAACGGGAAAGTCGTGGGCGAGTTGGAAAGCAGTTGCGAGTCTTCCCTGACGAGTTCGGTGTCGGAGGTTGCGCAACCCCCGGGAAACAGGACTGTCCAGATTCCAATGTCGTTCAGCGAAGACAGGATAGCGAGTAAAGCCGGTTTTACCAGTTCTGGGTCCTACACTACGACAGGGGGAGGAGGGTGGGAGGAGGTGGGGGAGGGTGGGAGTGGCCTGTTGCCCCCGGAGATAACTGTTGATGAACCAGGTAAGAAGATAACTAATGCGTACAGCCTAGAGACAGATAATGTAAACTTCGGCGGATTTCAAAATGGAGCAAGGGAGAGCTTAGCTTAACCCCTGGTAAAACTTAGCTCTCTTTGTTCTCTTTGCAAAGTGTATGCCTACATCCCAAGTCCACCTTTCCCACACACACCCTCCCTCCCACCCTCCCTCCCGGTCAGGAGGACTCCATTCCCCGACACCAGAAGCATCAGACGAGGCGTCAGTTGTCAGTCCGTCTCTCTCCCTCCAGCCGCCTCGCCTCACCACCCGGTGTTTCATCGACTACGACAGGAAGAAAGAGGAGGCTGAGAAAGGTTGGAGGGATTACCAGCACTGTACCACCATTCAGGGGGGAGATTAGGGAGGGAGGGAGTTGGTGTAGTTTGCAACAGATGTGGTCCAACCTTCGCAGTTCTTGTGCCACTCATACTGGTAGACAACATGGAATAGTGGCTGTTTTTGCAGTAAAAAGTCTGTTGTCATGCAACCTGTAAGCCATCTATTTTCCCCATCTATTTTCCCCATCTAAATGTTCTATTTTCCATTAAATATTGAACATTTAGATGGCTTACAGGTTCGTGTCATAGATGAAACAGAATGCTGTTTTGACTTTTTAAAAGTGATTTTCATCTAAAATGTATCAAGTGTGAACACTAAAACATTGCATTTTGAAGCCAAATTAAGTCTTCAGTTTATCATTATGTTGAGTGTGGGTCCTTCTCTCTCTCTCTCTCTCTCTCTCTCTCTCTCTCTTCTCCATTCTCCACGACCCACAGCCAAGACCAGTAAGATAGAGACAACTGAGCCTCGTAAACCGACCCACTACTGGTCCGGCTACAACTTCTCAGAGTCCTGGGCCCCCGGAGAGGGGAATATCGCCATCTTTGACAACGTCATCCTCCGGTGGAGGACAGATGAAGACTCCTCAGGGACTGAGCTCTCTGAACAAGGTGAGGGGGAGAGGGGAATGGGGAAAGAGAAGAAAGATGGAAAATTACAGAGTGGCCAAATATTTGTGTTTTATGTTAGAATTTATGAACTTTTCAAGATATTGCGTAATCCATCCATAAAATACTGGGACTTACAACACATTATTGCATTTTTGCAGCAGTGTTGAAATGGGAAGAAAGAAACTGAAATTGCTGTATACTGTATGTCGACGTGTTGCCATTGTATGTGTCTAGTTGACTGGTGCTCTCTATTTAGAGTGGGTTCCAGGTTCTAAAGCGACAGGCGTCTATTGAGAGAGCTCAGAGCCTCCAGTCGGAGCAGGAGATCTACCGTGGAGTCACTGGTTAGTGAAGAGATAGAGAGAGAGAGAGGGAAGACGACGTAATGCCTATAGTCACAGACACACTGCATGATGTGTGTAACTTGAGCCTGAGTATGCAACACATTAATTTTGAGGTGAGCAAATACAGTAGTTTTCATATTCATAGATCATGAAATTATTTAGGGCGTTGTAGAACATTAAACTGGCCAACCCCTCCTCCCTCAACTCAGACCTGGCGACACTCCTGAGCAGACTGGACATGGAGAAGTACCAGTCGTGTTTCGAAGAAGAGGAGATTGACCTCCAGGTGCTGCTGCACATGAACGAGGGAGAGCTGGACAGCATCGGGATAAAGAGGCTCGGGCCTCGTAGGAAGCTCATGTTGGCTATTTCTGGTGAGTCTTAGTTCAAGGCCTGTTTTTAAAGGGAATGTGGCAGTAAATAATGGCTAGATTTAGAAATGTTGCTATTTAGATAGAGCTAAACAATAGGACATAGTGGCCTTGTCTGGCACTATAACCTGAACCAGCAACTGGGAAATATAGACAGCTGTCTAGTCTAGCTGGGAACCTACTACCACAGCATCCATTTTTCCTCCCTTCTTTCTCGCTACAGAACTGAAGAAGATTCAGACGACAACGAGGCAATCAGGAGGGGGCACAGCCAATATTTCCCCCCTGAGTCTCGGGGGGCTGGGGGGCATGACCTCTGCATCTGCGGGGGGCTACCAGAAATCACTGGGTCCCCTGCCTGGGGGGCTTGGGAAATCCAGTTCCCTCAAAAGAGCAACAAACTACTCAATGAGCCACAGCGTCAAGTTCTGACGAATCACGTGACTTCCTGCTTTGGTCATGTGACTTTCTTTTCATGTCACATGACAATATTAACTGACAGACACAACTTCGTTTTTTCCATTGTACAGTAACAGACAACTTCATGAGATAGCGAAGGCTACAATCATTATTGTTCGGTATAATTATGTGTAAATATACAGAGACTGTCTAGGTTTTAGACCGTACAGCAACCGCTCGTGTTCATCTATAGTTTTGTATCGTAAAAGTAATAATTATCATGTCATCATTCTGTGTTATTGTTCCAAATCTCACAACAAAAACGTAATACGAGAAAGTGTTCACAGACGTCATCGCTTAGTGATAAAAATGCTACCTTCTCACTGTCTCTCTTGCTAGTTCAATGTGTGAAAGGGCAGGAAGAAGGGTTGTTAGTAATAAAGGGAAACAAGCTACTTCTACATTACATAAGTTGTTTCGGTTGTTTAGTCATTGTTTTTACGATAATTTTGTCAAACGCAAGCATCTTCGTCTTCATCTGACTCTCTGGCCTCCTCAGGTAGGGGGGCAGGGGGGCGGTTCCTCATTGGTGAGTCCTCTGGGTCGGGCGGAGCCTCTTTGGCAGTGGGAGGATCCTCTTTTGCAGTGGGAGGAGCTACTTTGGCAGTGGGAGGAGCTACTTTGCCTCGAGGGAGGGACCGCGACCGATTCGGATGACTAGGAGGGAGACGAGGAGGGGGTGAAGCTGCAAAACGAGGGAGTGATCTATGAACACCTTTTTTGGCTCTGACGCTCCGTACTGTTGAGTCGCCAACTGTGTCGTAGAGAGGCTGTAATTGGAGGGGTCTTCCCTTTTCCACCGATATCTCAAAGTAGGCAGTGTTGGGATCAGTGGTGATCCCAGTGAGAGGCCGTCTCCTACCACCTGACGGTTGGGCTGGTGATGATGACACAGCTCTGTGTGGGGGAGATGCAGAGATATTTGCACTTTCTGAACAATATTTCACACAGCTGCATGCAAGGATTAAACCTTACATCATATGATCTTTGCAGTGTTATTACATGAGTACTGATGTGTACTGTTCAACCTCCAGGGTTGATCATGCCAGGTATATATGAAAAATCACACTCTCATTGCAATGAGACATGAGTCAACAACGATGTCTCATTCGATCTCAACAAGGCAAAGAATAGCAATGACACCCAGTAAATCATATGTACAGTTGGCTTACTTTTGTTGACGTGGCAGCTTAACATTGTCTTCAGCCCTCCTGTCTTGTGAAGCTACTGGTAAGTATGCTGCGTTCCTCCTTGTATCAATGGGAGAGCCATTTTCTTGACCGCTGCCATTGCTACTTCCTGGATTAGTGATCTTCTTCCCTTTGTTACTGCCTCCTTCTGTAGTCATCACCGTGGCATCACCAGTTGATAGGGTAGCTGACTTGTCCTCATTGAGAGTATCCATGGGAATGCTGTTCCCTGCCACAGCAACCTTTCCTTCAGTAGATCTAGAAGAACAGTGATATTCATTATCGCGCTCTACCATAGCTGTACCATATATATTGATGTTTACAAACATGAATGTAGAACAAACTCACTTTTCAGGGTTTGCCTTTCTTTTCCTCTTAACCGCTCTTCGGCATCTCCAAACAGCCAGAGAGGTAACCATGGCCACTGCCATAGAAAACAGACCCACTGCAAACCCTACGGCTAGCCACACTGGTTCACCGGTGGACTGAGATGGAGATGATTGAGAAGGCTCTTCACCCAGTGAGACATTGAGTCCATCCACTGTGGACTGAGATGGAGATGATTGAGAAGGCTCTTCACCCAGCAAGACATTGAGTCCATTCACTGCCCATTTCTCAAGTAGATCCGCAAGATTATCACTGTCATGTTTGTGAGTTCCTCCCAGTCTTGCTCGGTAGATTACAAGTGGAGGGACGCCTCCAATTTGTGGGTTGTCAAGGTTTGCACGGCTGCAGTCAGGGCAGACTGTCTTCAGCTTCTCCACGACTTGGTCTGTAATCATGAGTTGTATCTCGTCCTTACTTATTTCCTGAGGAATTTGTGACAAATGATAGATATCCAGCAGTGAATTAGAGCAACTCACAAGAATCCTAGAGCAGCTATAATTATCTTTATTGAGAAACACTGCAATGCTTATCTGAGAGTCTAAAAATGGAGGGTAAGGAAAACTGAGTACATAAAACGTGTCTCATTATAGAGAAAAGGCCTACAATCTTCCTCAGTGATAAAAGAGGTACTAGCAATGGAATTGCCGTCTCTGGCTATTGAGCAACTATAGTGGGTGTTTGGAGAGAATCCAGCAAGGGTTTGTATGCTTTGTTCATGGATGACAGTAGTCAGCGGAGAGGGAGAAGAGGGGTAGCAGGAGATGTTGAAGGACGGGGTGTGGGTGGTGCAGTCTGAGTCGTCAGGAGGGCACCAGGAGAAGGTAACTTGTCTCTCTCCTGCTTCAGCTGTGAATTTGTCAGCCTCACATTCTATTAGAGATAAAGGTCAACAGTCTAGTTAATCACTATAAGTTTGCTGTCTTGGAACGCTTTAGTGAAAAATGCTGTTCACTTCAAAATTCCTTCTTTTCTGACCTTCCCAACTAACTAGTGATGAAAACAGCAGTTTTTATAATATTATGCAGGCAGTGGTTCATATTGTATTGTGTGAGCTCACCAGTATCCACAATGATATTTCTAGAGGTAGACCCCATGTCATTAGCTACAATACAGGTGTAGTTCCCAGTGGTCATCCTACTGACTACCAGAACATTAGTGTAGACTGAAGCTTCCCTGTCACTGATTTCCTGAGAGAAGGTATAGTTGGATGATCCGTCAGTATTGAGAGGTTGTCCGTCTTTCATCCAAGTGACACTAGTGGCTGGAGAGCCAGATGACACACATGTCACATGGCCACATGAGTCCTTGTAGTTCAAATAGTGCCCACTGTCAACCTTTGGATGCTCTGCAGATGGAAATGTGAAATTTACAAGTAAGTTTTTCAGACAAAGGGAGGTATAATTCTGTCGTAAAGGTCAATAAGCAGTATAAATAGTCATTGTTATGATGCAATTTATCTTTGTATATTAATTCGGTTCCGCCCATTGCTCTGGGTGCGTGGTCTATGGCCCTAGTGCTATGGCAGCCACCTGAGTATTATTATTATTATTATTAATTCTGTTAGCTACATGCTCACCATAAAATCCGTTAGGATATATTCCAACATTCAATTCTATATCATTTCCGTTACTGTCAGGGAGGGAGCAGGTGTAGATGCCTTGCTGTGAAGGTGTTATGGGTGCTGAGGTGATGAGGGAGAGCAGTCCAGGTGTATGTGGAGGAGGAGAGATGCTCCAGCCTTGTTTGGTATCCCCGGGAGACAGGGTGGCCCCAGCCGGTGTGGTGACAGTTCCCAGTCCACTCTGACTGGAGTTGGAGACACACTCTAGTCTCAGGCCCTCTCTCCCACTGATTATCATTCCATTGTTGGCTATCAGACTGCGGTCACGTATTCCAGATCCATACATTGCAGCACCTGCTCAGAATCACAATTCTTATCCCTCACAAGCTATAAATATTCAAGCAAACAAGTGCTAGTACAAACATTAGTACAAACATTAGTACAAACATTAGTACAAACAAGTGCCAGTACAAACATTAGTACAAACAAGTGCTAGTACAAACATTAGTACAAACAAGTGCTAGTACAAACATTAGTACAAACAAGTGCCAGTACAAACATTAGTACAAACAAGTGCTAGTACAAACATTAGTACAAACAAGTGCCAGTACAAACATTAGTACTAACAAGTGCTAGTACAAACATTAGTACAAACAAGTGCCAGTACAAACATTAGTACAAACAAGTGCTAGTACAAACATTAGTACAAACAAGTGCTAGTACAAACATTAGTACAAACAAGTGCTAGTACAAACATTAGTACTAACAAGTGCCAGTACAAACATTAGTACTAACAAGTGCTAGTACTAACATTAGTACTAACAAGTGCCAGTACAAACATTAGTACTAACAAGTGCTAGTACAAACATTAGTACTAACAAGTGCCAGTACAAACATTAGTACTAACAAGTGCTAGTACTAACATTAGTACTAACAAGTGCCAGTACAAACATTAGTACTAACAAGTGCTAGTACTAACATTAGTACTAACAAGTGCCAGTACAAACATTAGTACAAACAAGTGCTAGTACAAACATTAGTACAAACAAGTGCCAGTACAAACATTAGTACAAACAAGTGCTAGTACAAACATTAGTACTAACAAGTGCTAGTACTAACATTAGTACTAACAAGTGCTAGTACAAACATTAGTACTAACAAGTGCTAGTACTAACATTAGTACTAACAAGTGCTAGTACTAACATTAGTACTAACAAGTGCTAGTACAAACATTAGTACTAACAAGTGCTAGTACTAACATTAGTACTAACAAGTGCTAGTACTAACATTAGTACTAACAAGTGCCAGTACAAACATTAGTACTAACAAGTGCTAGTACTAACATTAGTACTAACAAGTGCCAGTACAAACATTAGTACAAACAAGTGCTAGTACAAACATTAGTACAAACAAGTGCCAGTACAAACATTAGTACAAACAAGTGCTAGTACAAACATTAGTACTAACAAGTGCTAGTACAAACATTAGTACAAACAAGTGCCAGTACAAACATTAGTACAAACAAGTGCTAGTACAAACATTAGTACTAACAAGTGCTAGTACTAACATTAGTACTAACAAGTGCTAGTACAAACATTAGTACTAACAAGTGCTAGTACTAACTAGACTACAAGTGCTAGTACATTAGATAACAGTGCTAGTACAAACATTAGTACTAACAAGTGCTAGTACTAACGTTAGTACTAACAAGTGCCAGTACAAACATTAGTACAAACATTAATACTAACAAGTGCCAGTACAAACATTAGTACTAACAAGTGCCAGTACAAACATTAGTACTAACAAGTGCTAGTACTAACATTAGTACTAACAAGTGCCAGTACAAACATTAGTACTAACAAGTGCTAGTACAAACATTAGTACTAACAAGTGCCAGTACAAACATTAGTACTAACAAGTGCTAGTACTAACATTAGTACTAACAAGTGCCAGTACAAACATTAGTACTAACAAGTGCTAGTACTAACATTAGTACTAACAAGTGCCACTACAAACATTAGTACAAACAAGTGCTAGTCACCGACAACTTTCAATACACGCATTTTTAGTGATTGGTAGCTCACCTACTACAGTAACAGTGAAGTTTTCACTTGTGGCCCAGTCACTGGTAGTGCATGTGTAGTTCCCCGCAGTGTACGAATAGAGTATCAGTGTTAGCATCGATGATGTAACTGATTCAGTGCAGCTGGGACAGCTCTGAGAAGCATTGTTTCTTGTCATGGACCACTCGTAGTGTTGGTCAGTGTCTCCACTCCCTCCCCCCAGTGTACAGTTGAGGGTAAGAACACTACCTGCTGTGAACTCATTAGGCCCCAATTGGTTGGGGTCTACCCCTGGCACTGGATTGTACACTGCACTGACAACAGCCTTTGGGACTATTAAAAAAGAACAAAAACTAGAACAAAAGATAGTGTGCCTCGGAACTCACCTATTTCAAGGTAGTGGTAGGAATTTCTATAATATAGTTGGATTTTCTCTCCACTGACTCTTACATGGCAAACAAATCTGCTGTGTTGGTAGGTCAGAGAATTTATAGTAAGACTGGAAGTGTACCTGTCAGGCCCTTCTACTGCATTAGTGATTGAATATTGAAGAGATCTAGTTGGAGCTATTTTGATGTTGACGGCCACTCCGTCGTAGTCCACACCATAATTTAGTGTCGCCGTACATGTAAGAGTGACGCTAGTACCAGAATACAGTGTACCAGATGGATCATGAGTAATAACCAAATCACTGAAGGGAACTGCAAGAGAAAAATGAAAAGCACTGAAGTGCAAACCATCGGCGAACTGCGCACGCGCGGTACCACTAATTGATGGACTGAGCTTTTAGTATGCGTTTACTCGTGGTATCCACGCTAGTAGCTCGCGGAGAGTCTGACACGGACTAGCTACAGTAGTAGATAGCATGCGGGAGTCGATACACGCACTTCGTTGTGACTTCTTATGCCTTCAAGATACACAGAGCAAGCGGCCCGGTCGAGGAAACTATATTAGCGCGTGGGCATTTTCCGCAGCGATAAAAATGGCCGACTACGCATTAGCCGTACAATGGTGGAAGCGCTCTAGCTTTGCAACGGAGCATTTTCAGAGAAAACCGCACAACCATTCTAACCTTCATTGGCCGTTAAGTAAGTCGTATCGTTTGTGAGACGAAAGAACACTCGAGAAGTGAGATGAAGAGTATAACAGACAGACAGAGGGTTAATGACATTGTATAGTGTGTTGTTTACCATGAAGAGGTGGGATGGTGATAGTGTTGCTGACATAACCACTGAGGTATGCTGTGCAGACATATTCTCCAACATGAGCCGGTTCTATCTGGCTGATGGTTAGTTCACTCAACACTTCCATCTCTCCAAATGTTGGCTGGGTCCAGTTAAGGGTGGCCACTCCACTAGGTCCCTCCCACTGGAACACTGGAATACCAGTCACACCACTTGGTAGAGTGACACAGCAGGTGAGGTTGACCGCCTCTCCAACCAAGAGAGGGAAAGAAGCAGGCGAACTGACTGATATACTTGCTGGCTCTAAATCAAATGATAAACTGTGTTAATGTGTGTATTATAACCTCAGTTATACATACCTATGAATATTATAGCTGCAGCTTTCACGGTACTATAATAGTCGTTGTAGTCATCATGTTCTTCAATGTAAATGGAGTAAGTTTCCCCCTCCAATAATCCATACAGCTGAGTTGTGATGTCACTGAAACTAATAGTCTCATTTTGTATTATGTTTGTGCCGACTCTTTGGTAGTTGATGTTGCCATGAACACCATAAACCCAGTTGGCCTCAACACTGTTCAGTCCATTTTGTGTTACATTCATTCTACCCAATGCTCCTGGAATGAGAATATTATGTACTATAAGCCAATTTTACTGAGCAGAGTCCTGGCATTCACATAAAGAATCTAATACTCCGTCCACTCTATATAATATAGCCCTTCTCTACTCTGTTGTAAAGGGCCACACATGAACTGCCTGTCTTGTGTACCCTGGATCATCCTGTACATGCTGCCTGTTTCCCCCCGATCCTTCACACATCCACTCCATGAAACACTTTTCTTTTGTGCCACTTTAACTTGTCTTTACCGCTAGTGCCGCACTCTCTCACACATCGACTACAAAACACATTTGTGGTTTGGGGTGTGATTTATGGGTCCTCTTACCTTCAATATAGAGGTATCCATATTTAGAAAATGGAGAGATATAACAATAGTAATACGTTCCTAGCTCCAACTCATCCACAGTCAGAGTGATTGTGTACTGTGCAGTCGCTGGGTCATCTAGTACTTTGTCTTTCCTTCCAGCGATGTCCATCCAAGGATAATAATATGGGCCCCACTCCACATAAGATACAGGTCTACCAGTGGAGATGCAGGTGAAGGTGTATCGAGGATACTCTCCAGCCAATTCCACGGTGAAATACATGTTGAAAACATGGTTACCTGGTCAATCATGCAAGCCAATGAGAGCTTTACTGCGAGCACATCCTAAACTTAATTTAACTCACCTTGGATAAGTAATCCAACAGAATAAGATTCCAGCTCTACAGTACTATTGCTAGACAGAATTTCGCATCGATACATACCAGACATTACCTCATCTGATGTCACATAAAGATCAATACTACTTCTGCTATATACTTGATAGACACTGCTGCTCGTATCAGTGGTCACGTTGATTCCATTAGGTGCCACCCACGTCCCCTGAGAACTGTTGCAACACTCACTTACTGCAGTTATGCAACTCAGGGGAAGGTTTTTAAGTGCCATCCTTTTCCAATGAGCATAGCCGTGATTACGAACAGTTCCGCCATTGAACACTAACTGGCCATTGACTCTTGCAATAATGCACACAATGCACAAGAGAAGACAAGAAACTTGCATCATTCCTCTATTAAAACTATACTCTTTCCCAACCCATGCCTCAGAAACAACTGTTGCTAAAGTGAGACTGCATGCTATTGTAATATCTTAGATTTGTGTACACGCGGTCGGTGTGGGGTAACAAATTGCTGAGGTGCACATTTTGGGTTGCTACTTGGTGTTAGACTCACGAAAGGTGCATATTCAGCACTTTTCATTTATATATACATACATGTGCTGAGGTACAACAATTGTTTGCAGTGGATGTGTGACAATGTGTACAGTGGAAAATAAGTACATATTGTAAGTAAATAGTTACTTTTGTGAACTTGTTTAGTCATTGTTTACAACTCTCTCATAAACGTAATCATCGTCATCTTCATCTGACTCTCTGGCCTCCTCAGGTAGGGGGGCAGGGGGGCGGTTCCCCATTGGTGAGTCCTCCGGGTCGGGCGGAGCATCTTTTGCGGTGGGCGGGGCCTCTTTGGCAGTGGGCGGAGCTACATTGCCTCGGGGGAGGGACTGCGACCGACTCGGATGACTAGGAGGTAGATGAGGTGGCTTATTATTAGCTTGTGGAGCTGCATAACGAGGAAGTGATTTAAGGAGTTGTTGAACACCTCTCCTGGCTCTGTCTTTCCACAGTGTAAAGTCGCCCACACTCTCGTAGAGGGGATCCATTGGTCGCGATGGAAGAGTTGCACTATACTGCAGACTGTCCACCGATATCTCGAAGTAGGCAGCGTTGGGAGTAGTGGTGATCCCAGTGAGAGGCAGTCTCCTACCAGCTGACGGTTGGGGTTCTGGTCTGTGGGGGAAAGATGTACCTTTTGTAAACACCGTAATGATTATGTCATTTATGAAAATTATGTCATCTATGAGAATAAATGACATAATCCCAATCATTGTGACATAAACACACAAAGCAGTGGTGAGACGCACAGTAAGACTTGCATGTCTCATATCTATAAACAAGGATCGTACACAAGGATTGTAATGTGTAAGACATTATGTGCATATTTTGTGTTAGATAACCATCAAGAGTCTTACTTTTGTCGACTTGGCATCTCGACGTACTTGCGGTCTCTCCCATCCCTTGGGGCCACTGGCAGGTATGCAGTGTTCCCTCTGGTGTTGATAGTGGGAGAGCCGTCTCTCGGACTGCCACTGTTTACTCCGTCTTCTGCCCCTCTGGGAGTCGTCACGGCAACGTCGGTTGTTATGGTACCAAGCTTATCGTAATGAGGCGTAATTATGGGGCTGTTGTTTCCGTTACCGTCTGTATCTATGGCAACACTCTTTCTCTCAGTAGATCTGCCAGGAACAAGTGGAGATTTTGATGGTAAGTTTGTGTTTATAAATGATAGAATTTTTTTTACACATACGTCAATTGGTTGCAGTACTGTGTCGTAATGTGGGACTTCCTGCTTTGGTCATGTGACTTTCTTTTCATGTCACATGACAATATTAACTGACAGACACAACTTCGTTTTTTCCATTGTACAGTAACAGACAACTTCATGAGATAGCGAAGGCTACAATCATTATTGTTCGGTATAATTATGTGTAAATATACAGAGACTGTCTATATTTTAGACCGTACAGCAACCGCTCATCTATAGTTTTGTATCGTAAAAGTAATAATTATCATGTCATCATTCTGCGTTTCAAAGTCTCATAACAAAAACGTAATACGAGAAAGTGTTCACAGACGTCATCGCTTAGTGATACCTTCTCACTGTCTCTCTTGCTATATAGCTCAATGTATGAAAGCGAAAATAAGGGTTGCTAGTAACAAGCTACTTTTATCTGAGCTACTATAATTTTGGTTGTTTAGTCATTGTGTTTACGACTCTAATTTTCTCAAACGCAAGCATCTTCGTCTTCATCTGACTCTCTGGCATCTTCAGGAAGGGGGGCAGGGGGGCGGTTCCCCATCGGTGAGTCCTCCGGGTCGGCGGAGCCTCTTTTGCAGTGGGCGGAGCTACATTGCCTTCGGGGAGGGACTGCGACTGGCTCGGATGACTAGGAGGGAGATGAGGTGCCTTATTATTAGCTGCATAACGAGGAAGTGATTTGTGAACACGTCTCGTGGCTCTGTTGCTGCATACTGTTGAGTAGTCCACTGTATCGTAGAGAGGCTCCGATTCCTGTAATTGGAGGGGTCCTCCTTTTTCACCCGATATCTCGAAGTAGGCAGCATTGGGATCAGCGGTGATCCCAGTGAGAGGCAGTCTCCTACCAGCTGACGGTTGGGCTGGTGATGATGACACGGCTCTGTGAGAGGGAGATGCAGTCTTTTTCAGACTCAGTGAAAATACAATATTATATTCATTATCGCACTCTTAATTAAAACCATAGCTGTACCGTATGGTGTTTACAAACATGATTGTAGTGGTGAGTGAACAAACTCACTTTTCAGTGTTTGCCTTTCTTTTCCTCTTAGCCGCTCTTCGGCATCTCCAAACAGCCAGAGAGGTTACAATGGCCATCGCCAGGGAAAACAGACCCGCTGCAAACCCTAGGGCTCGCCACACTGGTTCACCGGTGGACTGAGACGGAGAAGGCTCTTCGCCCAGCGAGACATTGAGTCCTTTCTCTGCCCATTTCTCCAGTAGATCTGCAAGATTATCACTGTCATGTTTCTGAGTTCCTCCCAGTCTTGCTCGGTAGGTTGCAAGTGGAGGGACGCTTCTATTGCAGACAATTTGTGGGTTGTCAAGGTTTGCACGGCTGCAGTCAGGGCAGACTGTCTTCAGCTTCTCCACGACTTGGTCTGTAATCATGAGTTGTATCTCGTCCTTACTTATTTCCTGAGGAATTTGTGACAAATCATAGTTATCCAACAGTGAATTAGTGCAACTCACAAGAATCATAGAGCAGCTATAATTATCTTTATTCAGAAACACTGCAATGCTTATCTGTGAGTCTAAAAATGGAGGGTAAGGAAAACGGAGTACATAAAACATGTCTCATTATAGGGAAAAGGCTTACAATCTTCATCAGTGTTAAATGAGGTACTAGCAATGAAATTTCCGTCTCTCCCTATTGAGCAACTATAGTTGGTGTTTGGAGAGAATCCAGCCAGGGTTTGTATGCTTTGCTCATGGATGACAGTAGTCAGTGGAGAGGGAGAAGAGGGAGAGGAGGGAGGGGGGTAGCAGGAGATGTTGAAGGACGGGGTGTGGGTGGTGCAGTTGGAGTCGTCGGGAGGACACCAGGAGAAGGTCACTTGTCTCTCTCCTGCCTCAGCTGTGAAATTACCAGCTTCACATTCTATTAAAGATAAAGGTTAAACCATTCCACATAATGCCACTGTGTTGTGAGGTCAACAGTCTAGTTAATCACTATAAAGTTTGCTTGTCTTGGAACGCTTTATTGAAAAATGATGCTCACTTCAAAATTCCTTCCTTTCTGACCTTCCCAACTAACTAGTGATGAAAACAGCAGTTTTTCAATGTGATGTAATGCAGGAAGTGGTTCAGAACTCACCTGTATCCACAACGATATTTCTAGAGGTAGACCCCATGTCATTAGCTACAATACAGGTGTAGTTCCCAGTGGTCATCCTACTGACTATCAGAACATTGGTGTAGACTGAATCTGCCCTGTCACTGATTTCCTGAGAGAAGGTATAGTTGGATGATCTGTCAGTATTGAGAGGTTGTCCGTCTTTCATCCAAGTGACACTAGTAGCTGGAGAACCAGATGACACACATTTCACATGGCCACATGAGTTCTTGTAGTTCAAATAGTGCACCTTAATCCTTGGACTCTCTGCAGATGGAAATTTACAAGTAAGTTTTTATTTTTCAGACAAAGGGAGGTATATTCTGTTGTTAAGGTCAATAAGCAGTACAAACAGTCATTGTTATGATGCAATTTTTTGTATAATAATTCTGTTAGCTACATGCTCACCATAAAATCCATTAGGATATATTGCAACATTGAGTTCTATATCATTTCCGTTACTGTCAGGGAGGGAGCAGGTGTAGATGCCTTGCTGTGAAGGTGTGATGGGTGCTGAGGTGATGAGGGAGAGCAGTCCAGGTGTATGTGAAGGAGGAGAGAGGCTCCAGCTGTCTGTGGTATCCCCGGGAGACAGGGTGTGTCCAGCCGGTGTGGTGACAGTTCCCAGTCCACTCTGACTGGAGTTGGAGACACACTCTAGTCTCAGGCCCTCTCTCCCACTGATTATCATTCCATTGTTGGCTATCAGACTGCGGTCACGTATTCCAGATCCATACATTGCAGCACCTGCTCAGAATCACAATTCTTATCACTCGCAAGCTATAAATATTCAAGCAAACAAGTGCTACTACAAACATTAGTACAAACAAGTGCTAGTCACCGACAACTTTCAATACACACATTTTTTGCTCACCTACTACAGTAACAGTGAAGTTTTGACTTGTGGCCCAGTCACTGGTAGTGCATGTGTAGTTCCCCGCAGTGTACGAATAGAGTATCAGTGTTAGCATCGATGATGTAACTGATTCAGTGCAGCTGGGACAGCTCTGAGAACCATCGTTCCTTGTCATGGACCACTCGTAGTGTTGATCAGTATCTCCACTCCCTCCCCCCAGTGTACAGTTGAGGGTAAGAACACTGCCTGCTGTGAACTCATTAGGCCCCAATTGGTTGGGGTCTCCCCCTGGCTCTGGATTGTACACTGCACTGACAACAGCCTTTGGGACTATTAAAAAAGAACAGAAAACTAAAACAAAAGATAATGTGCCTCAGAACTCACCTATCTTAAGGTAGCGGTAGGAAGTTCTATTAGCCGGTTGAACTTTTTCTCCACTGACTGTTACAGTGCAAGCAGATGTGCCGCTGTCTTGGTAGGCCAGAGGATCGATGGTAAGACTGGAAGAGCACCAGTCATCGGGCCCTTCTACTGCATCAGTGATTGAGTATCGAAGAGTTGGAGATATTCCACCCCAGGAGATGTTGACAGCCACTCCGTCGTAGTCCACACCATAATTTAGTGTCGCCGTACATGTAAGAGTGACGCTAGTACCAGAATACAGTGTACCAGATGGATCATGAGTAATGACCACATCACTGAGGGCAACTGCAAGAGAAAAAATGATACTCATGACATTGTGCAGTGTGTTGTTTACCACGAAGAGGTGGGATGGTGGTAGTGTTGCTGACATCACCACCGAGGTATGCTGTGCAGACATATTCTCCAACATGAGCCGGTTCTATCTGGCTGATGGTTAGTTCACTGAACACTTCCATCTCTCCAAATGTGGGCTGGGTCCAGTTAAGGGTGGCCACTCCACTAGGTCCCTCCCACTGGAACACTGGAATACCAGTCACACCACTTGGTAGAGTGACAGAGCAGGTGAGGTTGACTGTCTCTCCAACCAAGAGAGGGAAAGAAGGAGGCGAACTGACTGATATACTTGCTGGCTCTAAATCAAATGATAAACTGTGTTAATGTGTGTATTATAATAACCTCAGTTATACATACCTATGAATATGATAGCTGCAGCTTTCACGGTACTATAATAGTCGTAGTCATCAAGTTCTTCAATGTAAATGGAGTAAGTTTCCCCCTCCAATAATCCATACAGCTGAGTTGTGATGTCACTGAAACTAATAGTCTCATTGTATATTATGTTTGTGCCGGCTCTTTGGTAGTTGATGTTGCCATGAACACCATAAACCCAGTTGGCCTCAACACTGTTCAGTCCATTTTGTGTCACATTCATTTTACCCAATGCTCCTGGAATGAGAATATTATGTACTATAAGCCATTTTATTGAGCAGAGTCCTGGCATTCACATACAGCATCTAATGCTCCATCCACTCTATAAACCATTTTTTGATTATGGGTCCTCTTACCTTCAATATAGAGTTCTCGAACTTTATAAAATGGATGGATATCACAAAAGTAGAACGTTCCTAGCTCCAACTCATCCACAGTCAGAGTGATTGTGTACTGTGCAGTCGCTGGGTCATCTAGTACTTTGTCTTTCCTTCCAGGGATGTCTATCCAATCCTGGTCATCACTGTCTGTGCCCCACTCCACATAAGATACAGGTCTACCAGTGGAAATACTGGTGAAGGTGTATCGAGGATACTCTCCAGCCGATTCCACGGTGAAATACATGTTGAAAACATGGTTACCTGGTCAATCATGCAAGCCAATGAGAGCTTTACTGCGAGCACATCCTAAACTTAATTAACTCACCTTGGATAAGTAGTCCAACAAAATAAGATTCCAGCTCTACATTATTATTGCTAGACAGAATTTCGCATCGATACATACCAGACATTACTCCATCTGATGTCACATAAAGATCAATTCTACTGCTGTTATAGACTTGATAGACACTGCTGTTCATATCAGTGGTCACGTTGACTCCATTAGGTGCCACCCACGTCCCCTGAGAACTGTTGCAACACTCGCGACTACTTACTGCAGTTACGCAACTCAGGGGAAGGTTTTCATGTTCCATCCTTTTCCAATGAACATAGTCGTGATTACGAACACGTCTGTCATTGAACACTAACTGGCCATTGACTCTTGCAATAATGCACACAATACACAAGAGAAGACAAGAAACTTGCATCATTCCTCTATTAAAACTATACTCTTTCCCAACCCATGCCTCAGAAACAACTGTTGCTAAAGTGAGACTGCATGCTATTGTAATATCTTAGATTTGTGTACATGCGGTCGGTGTGGGGTAACATTATTGCTGAGGTGCACGTTTTGGTGCAATAAGATTGCAATGAAATTGGTATTCTTGTGCAAAAACAGCTAATGCCTAGAGGGCATGTAAAAATGGTGTGTTTCTGGACACGTGAGGACGTGTCACCAATGCATTGTGAGATCAAATAATAATGATTTCCCAGTGAGGGAGAATATATACAACAATTGTTTGCAGTGGATGTGTGACAATGTGTACAGTGAAGAATAAGTACATAGTGTAAGTAAATAGTTACTTTTGTGAACTTGTTTAGTCATTGTTTACAACTCTCTCATAAACGTAATCATCGTCATCTTCATCTGACTCTCTGGCCTCCTCAGGTAGAGGGGCAGGGGGGCGGTTCCTCATTGGTGAGTCCTCCGGGTCGGGCGGAGCCTCTTTTGTGGTGGGCGGAGCCTCTTTGGCAGTGGGTGGAGCTACATTGCCTCGGGGGAGGGACTGCGACCGACTCGGATGACTAGGAGGTAGATGAGGTGGCTTATTATTAGCTTGTGGAGCTGCATAACGAGGAAGTGATTTAAGGAGTTGTTGAACACCTCTCTTGGCTCTGTCTTTCCACAGTGTAAAGTCGCCCACACTCTCGTAGAGGGGATCCATTGGTCGCGATGGAAGAGTTGCACTATACTGCAGACTGTCCACCGATATCTCGAAGTAGGCAGCGTTGGGAGTAGTGGTGATCCCAGTGAGAGGCAGTCTCCTACCAGCTGACGGTTGGGGTTCTGGTCTGTGGGGGAAAGATGTACCTTTTGTAAACACCGTAATGATTATGTCATTTATGAGAATTATGTCATCTATGAGAATAAATGACATAATCCCACATCATTGTGACATAAACACACAAAGCAGTGGTGAGACGCACAGTAAGACTTGCATGTCTCATATCTATAAACAAGGATCGTACACAAGGATTGTAATGTGTAAGACATTATGTGCATATTTTGTGTTAGATAACTATAAAAAGTCTTACTTTTGTCGACTTGGCATCTCGACGTACTGGCGGTCTCTCCCATCCCTTGGGGCCACTGGTAGGTATGCAGTGTTCCCTCTGGTGTCGATAGTGGGAGAGCCGTCTCTCGGACTGCCACTGTTTACTCCGTCTTCTGCCCCTCTGGGAGTCGTCACGGCAACGTCGGTTGTTATGGTACCAGCTTATTGTAATGAGGCGTAATTATGGGACTGTTGTTTCCGTTACCGTCTGTATCTATGGCAACACTCTTTCTCTCAGTAGATCTGCCAGGAACAAGTGGAGATTTTGATGGTAAGTTTGTGTTTATAAATGATAGAATTTTTGATACATACGTCAATTGGTTGCAGTACTATGTCGTAATGTGTTTTTCATGTATATATATGAAACAGATAGACGACCTATAAAGTTCCCAACCCCAATACTGAAACAAGTAAATACTCGTCACTCACTCATTTCTCTCCACAGTGACATAAGAGTAGTCTCTCTCTGTTTCCTTCAGTTCATCTGGTGCCCTCTCTGGTCGAGGTAACTCCTCCATACCTAGTCTGGGCCGTGGGGAAGGGGTTAAAATTATCATTTCATAAGTTTAACACCTCTGTTGGTGTTATTTGTGTATATACTATGGATCCATTTAGTGGGGTACCTGACTACAGCACTACTGTATTTAGCTAATGGTTCTATGCCAAGGCATGTCTGCATGTTTCACAAGAAGATCCAACATTGCAAGTAGAGGTCAACTCACTCTTGAGCCTGTTTAGTCTCGCGGACAGATCTTCTCGACCTCCATACAGCCAGGAAGGCTCCCATGGTTGCCACTAGAGAGATGAGACCTGCAGAAACCCCAGCAGCCACCCCCACCAGCTCCATGGACTCTGGTGAATCTGGTTCATCGTTTAGAGACAGATGTTGTCCCTCTCCTGCCCATTTCTCTAACTCAGCCACGAGATCGTCACTGTCATTTGCGTGTGTCCCTCCCAGCCTTGCTCGGTAGGTTATGGTAGGTGGTGACTGGTCAGTGCACTCAATTTCCTCTCGGTCTATGTTTGCACTGTCACACTCTGAGCAGATTTTCTGCAGTTGCTCCACAACCAAGTCAGTTACCATCTGCAGAATCTTTTCTTTACTCCTAACCTGCTGGATAGTCATACATACATAGTAAAATTAATTTACTTCCAAGTGAAGACTTGCCATTATTTGGGAGCAGCTATTATTGGAATCCTTTCTGTCAAGAAATATACTTATTCTTAACTGTGAGTCTACCAAAGAAAAAAACAGAGCATTATATCTCACAAACTCGGTAAAAGACTTACAATCTTCTTTAGTTGTGAAGGAGACAGTATAATGTGACTGAGTGTGTATTGAGCAGTTGTATTCAGTGTTGGGGGAAAATCCGTCTAGGGTCGTTGTCCCTGGCTCTGAGATGAGCAGAGGGGAAGAGGGAGAGGAGGGAGGGGGGTAGCAGGAGATGTTGAAGAACAGGGTGTGGGTGGTGCAGTTGGAGTCGTCAGGAGGACACCAGGAGAAGGTCACTTGTCTCTCTCCTGCCTCAGCTGTGAAACTGTCAGCTTCACACTCTGTGGAAGAATTAGCAGACACACACAAACACTTGTTGGGGTATAATATAGGATTAACTAAGGCTCTATGGGAGCACCATTTTCTGTAAGATGTAGAAGCATAGAAGCAGAAGCTCTACAAAATTTAGTTTTGAGCTCGTGAACCAACTCTCCATTTATTACCCTTTGCCTCTTCGTTTCCTTCACTTAGTGTTAATTTCAGTGTGCATACGTGGTTCAGATTGTATTGTGTGAACTCACCACTATCCACAATGATATCCATGGAGGTAGACCCCAAGTCATTAGCTACAGTACAGGTGTAGTTCCCAGTGGTCATCCTACTGACTATCAGAACATTGGTGTAGACTGAATCTTCCCTGTCACTGATTTCCTGAGAGAAGGTATAGTTGGATGATCGGTAGTATTGAGAGGTTGTCCGTCTTTCATCCAAGTGACACTAGTGGCTGGAGAACCAGACGACACACATTTCACATGGCCACATGAGTCCTTGTAGTTCAAATAGTGCACCTTAATCCTTGGACTCTCTGCAGATGGAAATGTAAAGTAAGTTTTTATTTTGTACAAGTAGTAACTTTTTCAGGCAAAACAAGCTACAATTAATTCCTACACTCTGTTGTGGTTCAATAAGCAGTGCAAACAGTCGTTAATTTATCTTTGTATAATAATTCTGTTAGCTACATGCTCACCATTAAAATCCGTAAAGATATATTCCAACAGTGAGTTCTATATCATCTCTGTTACTGTCAGAGAGGGAGCAGGTGTAGATGCCTTGCTGTAAGAGTGTGATGGGTGCTGAGGTGATGAGGGAGAGCAGTCCAGGTGTATGTGGAGGAGGAGAGATGCTCCAGCCTTGTTTGGTATCCCCGGGAGACAGGGTGTGTCCAGCCGGTGTGGTGACAGTTCCCAGTCCATTCTGACTCGAGTTGGAGACACATTCTAGTCTCAGGCCCTCTTTCCCACTGATTATCATTCCATTGTTGGCTATCAGACTACCAGCTTCAAGGCCTGATGAAGACTGCCTCTTTCTTCCATACATTCCAGCACCTGCGAACAGTACATGTAATTGGCTAGTGAAGCAAGCCTGCTTAGTCATCTGCATGCGGTATTTTTCGATGCGTGCATATTTACTCTAATTATCCTTTGCCAAAAACTTGTAGCATTCGTTCTAGAAAACTTTCTTTCCCCTTCGACTACGACTCTATTTTAGGCATTTTGATAAGTAGCTTCTCCAAAACTATGTCAATTGAAATGCTCTTAATTTCGCACACTTATACATTCACATACACATTACAAAATTATGGCAAAAGCTTGACTCAATCAAGAGATGATGTGCTCAGTAGCTACTATAGGTCTCACCTATAACAGAGACAGTGAAGGGTCTGCTGATCAGTGTGTCATTGACAGTACACGTGTAGTTGCCAGCATAGCCGGAGTAAAGTGGGGGACCCCCTACAATCAGTGTGGAGTTACTACACTCTGTGCAACCCAAAGAGGCACTCCCTGTCGTAGACCACTTATATCGGTTATATTGCTCCACACTTCCCTCCACTGTACACGAGAGGATAAGAACACTGCCTGCTGTAAACTCGTTAGCCCCCATCTTCTCAGGGTTCTCCTCAGGAACTGGAGTGTAGATTGTACTAATAACGGCGTTTGGTTCTGTTAGAGAAAGAACAGTGGATAAGATAAGATGCATTTATGGCAGTTTGTGCATCACTTACTGACTGTTATCCAGGCATAAGCAGAAGGTGTTTTACTGTCAATTATGAATCCACTGCCACTAGAGTCAAAAAATGCTGCATTGCAGAAATAGAATCCAGTATCAGTGGTTTCTGCACTGGGTATGGTTAACAAATCCTGGTTAGTATCGTTAACTTCTCGGCTCCTATCATGTGTGCTATTTGGAGTTATCCACAAAAAGAGAGTAGAGGTGGGCGTGTCCACGTAGGGTGACTTGTGTACGGAGCAGTTGAGAGACACGGAATAGTCGGAAACTATCTCATTCTCTGTTGCCATCACTGTCATACCACGAGGCCTAGGGACTGAACGAGGATGCCATCTCCATAAAAGCACATGAAATTTTTACACACTACTTACTTAGAACTGTTACACCTGTGCTACTAGTGGCAGTAGTGTGCAGCCCAATTGATGGTATTCAATCACTGCCTCGCAAGTGTACCTAGCTCCATGAGAGGTAAATAGAGGACTGAATGTAACAGTCTTTGTGCTGGTGGTTTCATTTACAGGAGTCCCACACTCTGCACATCTTCTAAACTGCCTCCAGTCCACCGGATACATGGAGATGTTACGAGATTCTCAACTACTGTCACAGTGCATGTCAGTTGGAGCTCTTCGCCAGCTGTACGTTCCCCACCGACCTCTGATATTACCACAGTAGGTGGTGGGAGATCTGAAGGGCAAGATGTATAGAGAGACTAACACATTATACAGCAAAAGGCAAAACAGTTCACCTGTCACAGAGACAACTCTGCTGTGTCTGCTAGTAATACTGTATACATTGGTCCCACTAACAGTTGCTGCACAAATGTATGTTCCACTATCTGAGATGGCCAGTGGACTAATGGAGAGACGTTTGGTGTATACACCATTAGAGCCCTCCATAGTAGATGAGATAAAGGTTTGAGGGCCCGACCAGGAAATGTGGACACTCAAACCAAGATATCTCAAGCTTTCTGTCAATGTTGCAGTACACGTCAAGGATATGTCTGTACCAGCATAGAGAGTATCAGATCGACTCTGCTCTATGGCCACAGTAGGCGAGGGAACTACAAGAAAAACAAAGTGATAAATCTTCTGAAAATCATTCAAACTATGTAAATTACGGTTAAGGTTAGGGATGGTGATAGTTGAGCTGACAGCGCCATTGAGAGATGCTGTGCAAGAATATTCCCCAACATTAGATTGAGTTATGTGGCCGAGTCTTAGTTCATCATACACCATTCTCCCTCCTACAATTCCATATACAGGTGCGTATCTGTATGTTCCATTAGGTTGATGCCACTCTAAATCCAGGTTACCACTAATTCCACTGGGTATAACTACCCGGCAAGTGAGAGTAACTTCGTCTCCAATAGTGACAGGAAAAGTGTGGGAAGAAGTTATTGAGATACTTGTCGACTCTGTAGAGAGAAATAACAATTATTGCTTGCAACTCGACCATTTTGTTATGTACCAATGTGAAATGTGGTTGCGGCTTTAACGGTGTTTGGTAATGATGCAACATGTGTCAGGTAAATGGAGTAATCGGCTCCTCTTGTTAGCCCAGAGAGCTCAGCAGTACGCTCCCTCCAGTTGATTGTCCGAGTGTAGATCTGGTTCGTGCCCAGTTTCTGATAGTTCATGTGGCTGGCTGTGAAAATGTTTGGCCTGGCTTCATCCCATCTGACTCGAACCTGGCTTATCCCACTCTGAGACACACTCATATCACCGAGGTTATCTGAAGAAGGTAAACACATCCCCTGTCAACCATACACTAGCATTACTTTTAAAGAAAAAAAAAGTATATACAGTGGGACACCCCTGAAGTGAGGATACCTCTCTAATAAGGACACCTTTTCTTTCACCAAGAACAGTTCTTAACAGAAAGACGCTTTGTACCATTGTGTCTAGATTAAACCTTATGTGCACTTACCATCAAATTTGATATCTTCGCTGGCAGAATGTGGGGATATTATGAGCAGACAATTCTCCCAGATGGTGTATGTATTTACACTCTTAGTGAGGTGTACTGGGCAGTGACTGTGTGTGTTGAGGACTTTGTTTCCTTCTCCCAAGCTTTGTGAGGTTTGCCACCAGTGGGGTTGCCGCCAATCAACTCTACCGATAGGGCTTGCAATGGTGACACAGTTCAGAGTGTACCGAGGCCCTTCTCTATTGACAGTCAGGGAGATTTGGGATGTTGCATTACCTAATGTAATGAAAAAGCAAAGAAGGACGTAATACAGATGCACATTACAAAACACTATTACTGATCATAGTAAAATCCACAAACAAGTTTATTGCGTTGTGGACTTTCCAAGTTGGTGACATACATAGATCTTCTGTAGCTTTTCGGTACTCAGCATGTAGTTAAGTACAGCAAACCCCTGCATGCGTGTGAGGTGGGTACAACCCTGGTATTTTATACCCAGTTACGTACGTACTACAATGCATTGTACATCAAACCTTGTACATCTGTGCTTTATGTAAAGTGTAGAATGGATGTGTGGACTTACAAATACATAACACTGCTCTTCGCTACCTCATTTGTGAGGGTAGAGTCCCACATGGTATGACTCCAGTCACTACTTCTGGTCATTAGTCTGTATAGTTACATCGATATATCCTGACATGGCACTCCGGCTGGTGACAACAAGTTTCAATTCTGCGATTGCCCATACACTTGATACACACCATTGACAGCACTGCTTGTCACGGGAACCCACATCTGGTTGAACCAGGTCCCCTGAGAGCTGTCACGGACAACAGCTACTCACAGCAGTTACAATCTCAGCCGGCGAGCGTTGTTCGCAATATCGTAGCGATCTACAAGGCCATGGTTTCCACCAGCCCTCCCTCGTACAGAAAACTGGCTCTGAACTCTTGCCAATCACCGCGATGCCACACACAAGAAAACCTCAGAAACCTTGCATACTTCTCCAGTTACATGAAGAAGTCTTGTTAGAGAAAGACAATTAAATATGAGTGAGTTTCTTCGATCTCCCATTCCCGTGTGCGACTGTACGCGCTTTGTGGAATCATTGAGCTATTTTAATGCCCTGTACAATATGACATTACTAGTGATAGATATGATGCCATAATATCAACTTGTGTGTACACATGCAATGAGAGAAAACTGGTACTGCTGAGGTACACTTAATTAATGAGGCACTGTTTGTGCAAATCTGTCTTTCTCATAACCAACACAACACTATCCGATAGCATCCATGCCTGTGCTGTTTGGTCCTAGACCAACACCGGTCTGTGTGCTGGGAGGTAAAGGTAACATCATGTGTCTTGCTGTTGCTGCTGCTAGCAACGTGTTTACCACTCAATCATCAGAACTGGTTGAAAGGGAGTCAGGAGAGGAGAGTGGGAGGCGGCAGGACACCTGTGATCGATACAGACCAAGATCGGATTCAAAGCGGCAACATCTGTCACAGTCTGCACAAGTCTTTGATATAAAACAAGCACTCTGCAGTTGGTATACACAAGCACAATTGTGACACATCAGTTTGCCAGTGCACTAAGCAATCAAGCTGCGGGAGGGAAGTTATGTGAATAGCAGCTACAAACACTTTTGTGCCGTCTTACAACTGAGGAACAGAAAACGATATGTTGTATGAATGGAAACTCTCCTACGCAGTATGTATGTAGGTCACCAGGTAAAAAGGAAGGCGGTGGGGTGGTTATATGACTGCAGTAACCATGGATCTAGACACAGACAGGCATGGCCGAGTGGCACAGGACGCTAGTGTTAAGTCGCTGCCAGATGCCATAATGACGTGAAGCCCAAAGAGTGGAGATGAGAGTGTCACGCGATTGAGGAGTGGTAGAGACCAGGCACAGCGCACGCGTGCTAGCATTGAGACTGATACCTCCCATTGCGAGATGAGAATCAGACAAGTGAGTTAGATCAGTCAGAGTTCACGCACCAGTGCAATATACGTGGTATAAAACAGTCCACGATATGAAGAGAACGTGTGGACCCTGCCTGGACGGAAAGGAAGAGAAAGCGAGAGAGAGATAACTAGAGCGTGTTCTTGCGCCTATCCCATATATGATAGATAGCCCACCTGCCTAGAGGTAAGCTAATATGCTCTAGAGCACTTAGAATGTCTCCAGGTGCACACAATAATCCACCATACTTATATTATCGCTAAGTACTCTTGCTACGCTTTCTTACTTTCCCACAGATGATGGCTTCCCATACGACTAGGACTACAGCTCTGCAGCCAGTCGTGTTCTCTCTCGATCTCCCTCTGAATATTGCCGGTGGCCCCTGCACGTTACGAGATGATGACGAGCAATTTGCTTGAGCAATCTGGTCCCAATTCCAGATGCCGCGAGAGTGCGGCAGTGTGTGGAAAAAGGCAGGGGGAACATGGAAAACATACAGGTGATAGCATCGATACCCCCCTACTTACTACCCCGTGTACAAAGTGTACATCCACTCTAACATGAGTAAATTTCGAGTCATGCGATGTTGTCTGTTGTTCTCGGGTGTTTGTTTGTTGCGGTTCTTCCAAAACGGAGCTAGAGAAGGCACTCGTATGGCAGGCAACAACAGTAAATCGTACTCACAACAAATCAACCTCGCCTGTGGTCCCACACTTGCCATAACAGGTCTGGGAGCTGGTATGCAGCGGACAAGAGTTTTTTTGTGTAACTGCGGCATCCTGGCCCCCTCTGATCTTGAAGCAGAGTACCGAAGCAGTACGGGTGTTAGATCCGCAGATAAAGGGCATTCCCTTTGTCTTTACTATTCCCAGTCTCAGCGGATCGCATCAAACATCGCCCACAGTTGGACTGGCCACTAAGGGCAGCAGTGTCTCCTGTCAAAGAAACAGGACTTTGCAATACACCTTACAGATCTGTGAACAAA